GGCCAGGGCTTCAAGGACACACATTTGACGTGATGCCCGCGCCCGAGCGGGAGCAACTGGAGTCGTGGCGAGTGCTCGCGGAACCGTTTCCAGTGACCAAAGGAACTAACTCTAGACATAAGTATTCGGCGACCGTAATGGCGACGCTTACTAAGGAGATGAAGGCGATAGGGGACGGAGATGATTCTGCTTACGATGATGGTGGTGATGGTGATCTACTGATGATGGTGGTGGTGATGGTGATGGTGAGGATGAGGATGCTGACGATGCTGATGATGTTGATGGTGGTTGTGAAGCGGATGGTGATGATGTTGCTGATGCTGCTGGCGCTGCTGCTGATGTTGCTATCGGTGACTATGATGATGGTACTGCTGCTGATGATGACGATGATGATGAGGAGGATGATGACGATGATGATGATGATGATGATGATGATGATGATGATGATGATGATGATGTTGGTGATGATGATGATGATGAGGAGGATGATGTTGGTGATGACGGCAATGGCGATAGCGATGACGATGGCGCATATATTGATGAATCTGACGTCGAACACGACGATCATAATGATGATGCATCCCAAAGGATTCCAGGATGGGATTCCTCAGGATCCTCTCGGGATTCCTGAGGGTCCTTCTTTGAGAGTCTTTAGGATTCCGAAGGATTCCAGAGGGTGTCCCTAGGGATTCTTTTGGATAGGGTTCCTAAGGCTTTCCATAATGAGTTCTTTGGGATCCCCTTGGGGGTAGGAAGGATTCCCTGGGGACTCATCCGGCTTCCTTCAGATTCCTTACGGTTCCTTAGGGTTCCCTAACCATTCTCAAGAGATTCTTTGTGGGCCCCTTAGGATTTTTCAGGATGCCCAAGGGATTCCCCAGGATTCCCTAGGGACTCTTGGGGCACCCTTAGGATTCTGGAGGATTTCTTGGGACGGTCAGAGATGCTTAAGATCTCTTGGGATAGAATGCTTTAGGATACTCGAGGGATTCCTGGATTCCGGACGAATTCCCAGAGGATTTCCGAGGAGTTCATTGGGCTTTCTGGAGGATTCATGTGGATTCTTTGGGATTCCTCAGGATTCCTTGCGGATTTTCTCGGGATCCCTTAGGATTCTCTATGGATTCCATGGAAATTCCTCCAATTAGGATTCCTCCGTATTCCTTCAATTTTTCAGGAATCCAAGAAGTTCCTTGGAATCTCTTAGGACTCTTGAGATTCCTTCAGCGTTCCCTGGGGGTCTTTCGGCTCCTCAGGGTTGCTCCAGGGATTCCTGGGAATTCCTTGGGGATTCCATGGGGATTCCTCGGGATTCGCTAGGGATCCCTTAGGGTAGGATTCTGGAGTATTCCCTTCGGATTCCCTTGGATTTCTTTGGATTCCCGAATGCTGCCCCAGGGGTTCGTCAGGACAGGATTCCTTGGGATCCTTTAGGTTTTTGCTTCTGGCATGGGCCAGAGTTTACAGCCATCGATGTGCGTGACAGCCGTTTTTGGCAACCAACCACGCTGCTCGCTCTCCTTCCTCGTGTTCCTTTCTTGTGTTCCTTTCCTTCCTCGTCCTCGTCCTCCTCCCTTCTCTTTTTTTCGCCAGTGCTTTTTTACTGTTGGGATGTTGCTGTAGTTTAAACCACTGGTCACTCTGTGCCGCATTGCACCACGGAGTGTACGGATTATACGGGTTCTTCAGGAGATGTTGCGGTCGTCACCTCCCTCATGTATGCCCTTCCTTTTTCCAAAATATTACCCTGGCGACGTACCCACTCCCTGCGCAATGCTGGGCACGAGTAGCCTGGGAGACGTCATACAGAGGTGATGACGTGACATGGGCGCCTATAATTCTGCGAGCGGCATTCGTGAGGCTCGCAGCCCCCTGCGCGGTGCCTCACTCCGCTGGACCCGCCAGCAGCCTTCGAAAATGGCGACAGTTTCGCAGATCGCAGCCCCCCACGGACGGCGACGTTCCGCTCAGATCTGCACCGTGCCTCACTCGGCTGGACCCACCAGCAACCGTCGAAAGTGGCCACAGTTTCGCAGATCGCAGCCCCCCCCAGGGACGGCGAGGTCTCGCTCAGATCTGCGCGGTGCCTCGCTCTGCTGGGCCCACCAGCAGCCCTCGAAAGTGGCGACAAGGACCGCGAGGTCTCGCTCAGATCCGCGCGGTGCCTCACTCCACTGGACCCACCAGCAGCCCTCGAAAGTGGCGACAGTTTCGCAGATCGCAGGCCCCCCAGGGACGGCGAGGTCTCGCTCAGATCTGCGCGGCGCCTCATTCCGCTGGACCCACCAGCAGCCCTCGAAAGTGGCAACACTTTCGCAGATCGCAGCCACCCAGGGACGGCGAGGTCTCGCTCAGATCTGCTACCAGCAGCCCTCGAAAGTGGCGACAGTTTCGCAGATCGTAGCCCTCCCCCCCAGGGACGGCGAGGTCTCGCTCAGATCTGCGCGGTGCCTCACTCCGCTGCTGGACCCACCAGCAGCCCTCGAAAGTGGCGACAGTT